GAAAGATATGAAGGGGGGGGGGGGGGGATAGACACTAGCCTGCTGAATCCATAATGAGAATATCGCCATCTATTAATCTTGCTGGATTCCATGTATTCACATTATGATCATTAAGTAAGAAAGGAACCTAGCAGTTCCTCCAGAGAGGAGGTCCTTAGAACTGAACTATGACCATATTGGGTATAACCTAATCAGACAGAAATTTTAGAGAAGTTTTTGGAGTATGCATTTATTAAAAGAAGGAAAGAGACTTGAATATGCAATTGAACAAAGAATAAGCATTAAGTCAAACAGCTAATAGTTCCAGAACAGAGGTCCTCCGAAAAGTAGCATGCTGTAAATTCTTAACTACATTTAGTTCTTTTACAAGAAAGCTAAGGTAGTACATGACCAGAGGAGATCTCTCAAATTTTTGTTTCCATCTGAAAGAAACACAGAACATGCTGAAAGTCAAAATATGTTGACGAATTTATCTGAATATATTCACAGAAATATGCTTTGATGAGGTTTGGCAGTTGGACTTCCATAGATCCTCAATGAAGACAGGTCTCTTTATACTCTTTTCATATTTTTATTTTTTGACTTTTGAATAGGTAAAATTGGAGGCTCAGATTAACTATATATTATTCTTTTAACATTTTCAACTCGACTGAAACTTCACAACTTGTGGAAGGATAAGAAATTAAGAGGAATTAACACATCTCAAAGTTCCAATTTTCATCAAAGTTTAATGCCAGACTTTGAACATTTACTAAATTTAGAAATAAACTAATGATCTTTATATTCACAAAGAACAAGGAACCATATCATGGTCTTCCAAACTTCTCATGTCACGGTCATAGATAATCTAGACAAGTTCTAAAAAATGAATAAAGATTGAATCTTTAAAATTTTGGAGTTTTAGCCACTATCTAATTCTCTATAATAAAAATTTAATCTTTTCTTTAAGTAATTCTCTACAATTATTACCCATTTTTAACGGTTTTAAAAAAAAAAAGAATTTACCTTCTCGAGCTCGTCTTGTATCTCTTGCAATTTTTCAATGGAAAAAATGAGCTTTTCATCAATAACATTGTTGTTTTCCTCATCCACTTTCTGCTTCTTCCCTTTGTCTGCCCCCATTTTATTCTTTGCCTAAGCACACAGCAGCTGAGGAAGAGAGCTGCTGCTTCTCAGTGTCTCTAACTGCTAATTTCTAGATTCTGCTTAAACCCTAAACGGCTTTAACCTGTCTGTTTGAGACAAGACATGTTAAGGTTTTAGGGTTTTAGGAGAACCAATAAGAGATTGACACGTTTTCTTCTGTACTACTACTGTGACTTTGACACGTGTATAGATTATTAAATTACTCCTCCGACCCATTTATGTATCGTTTAAAACTTTAGAACGTCCACTAATTATAAAGTAGTATTATGATTTATTAAACTAACCTTGTTTATTTTTTATTTCATCTCAAGTTATTATTGCTCATCCTATTTGAAAGTGAGTATTATTACTTACTTTTACTCCCTAATAGCAAGGATGAACAGGAAAAAATTATTAATCGTGTCTTTTTCTAAATCGATAGTTTCTTTGAAATATCTTTTTAAATAAAACGATATTTACTTAAAAGGACAGAAGATCCACCTAAACAAAATACAGAGAGGTCCGGAGTATATAAACTGAACTACATTCACTTCTATCAGGAATCTATTAAGACGGATGAAATCTATGCACCTAAACAAAAGGTTTGATAGGGAGCTAATTCCTCTTTAGTGAGTCTTACGCAACACAAAAATTGAATTAGTTAAACAAGTTTAGTTGTGGAATGCATTAAGAAAGAATAGGAATACGTCACATCAAACTCGTATTTCCTTGCTCCACTAAGTAAAAAGCTCTTTTCACCTTCTAAATCATGCACTTCCGTTAGAGAATTTACATTTCTTTAAGCACGCATATAAATAAAGAAAAGAGAAATATAAAATAGAGTAACTTGTCACTGTTGAACATTGCCTATCAACTATGTTGATTTCAGTTTCGACATCGAGACTATCATCTATCATATCATATTTGATATAAAAAGTAATATTTATCTGTAATATTATTTTAAATATAATGAGGTTATAAAGGAAACAACCAAGATCATTTCAGGTAAGCAGAAGCATTTGGACCAAATATCTTTCCAAATGGGCTTTTGTAGCTCGTTACTTGAGTGCTATCTGTAATGAAACTACGGAAATTAAGGCCCAAACCAAATGCTTTCAATTAGGGTCCCTTTTGATGACGAAGAATTTTGAGAAAGCGACACTCTATGGCCTCGTAAATATTTTATTAGCCCATATTTTTTCCGTTGATCCGAAATGGTGTTTAGGTTCAATTTATTGACAAGTTGTAGTCATTACAGATTTTCCTCGAGAAAACTATCCTCTATAGCCCTTCAAAATTTTAATAGCCCATGTTTTTCCTCATTGACCCGAAATGTCCCTCCGGCTCAAACATATTACATCTAATAGTCCGAAATGTCTATTTTATATAATTTTTATATAGTAACAGTCTATTTTATATAGTGACAGGCTATTGTATATAAATTGCATAGTGACAGTCCATTTTGTATATATTTTGTACAATAATAGTCTATTTAGTATTTTTTTTGTATAATAACAGTTTATTATATATATTTTTTGTATAGTGATAGTCTATTGTATATAAATTGTATAGCGACAGTCTATTTTGTATATTTTTTTTATAGTGATAATCTATTTTGTATAGTGACAGTCTATTGTATATAAATTGTATAGTAACAATCTATTTAGAATATTTTTTGTATGGTGACAGTCTATTGTATTTAAATTGTACAGTGACAGTCTATTTTATATATTTTTTGTATAGTGATAATTTATTTTGTATAATAACAGTCTATTGTATATAAATTATATAGTGACAATCTATTTAGAATATTTTTTGTATAGTGAAAATATATTTTGTATAGTGAAGACTATGCATGAGATAAATAATTAAAATTAAAAACAAAAAATAAAATACTCCAAAAATAATACTAAAATTAAATCCTTCCCTCAAAATACACGTAACTTCTATTTTTGGAGTATTTTGCTTTTTAAAATTTTAATTATTTATCTCACTTACAGTAGGGGCACATATTGAACTCATACAGGAAAAGGCAAAAAGTAACATTTATGACAAAAGTTTTATTTTAATATTTTTCACAAGTATCTATAAAATATTAATATCTAAATAGCATAAAAGCCAAAAAAAAAAATAATGAATAGAATAAATTAAAATTCATCTTAGAAGCCATCTCCTATTGTGTTTCCGTGGTAATTAGGTTTATCAATTTCGGTGGCTAGCCGCTAGAATTAATTTTGGACTATAAAATATATATTGTAATTTGTGGCTACCGATTGTCATTAGTTTTTTCCGGATGACTAGAAATGATAATAGCTCATTTTCCACCTCTTGGGCCGCTACAGTCCATTAGATTTGCGTTTCTATGTTGGCAAAGCATCTTTAGCATATTACATCCTTACTTTCGGGGGAGTTAGAAATAGCCAGATTTAAAACTGATAATTGAAAAATAGTCACAGGTTCAAAAGCAATCGAATTTTAGTTATTTTTTCATGTAAATATTAAATCTGAACAAAAACACAATTAAAAATCCGAAAAAAATCCAGCACAATGTACTGGAGTTTGAATTTTTTACATATGAGATTCCAGCATATGTGCCGGAATTTCATAATGTGTTGTAGTTCCAACATAATATGCTGGAAGTTTATACGCAAAAGCTCCATAATCTAGCATATTATGCTGGAACTTTCCGTCTTTCAACAAAATAATGTCTATTATTTTAATAACTTTGCAAACGTTGGCTATTTTTTAATTATCAATCCGAAAATTAGCAAGCCCGTATTATTTTCACTACTTTCATAAACTAATGATGCAATTTAATATAAACAGAATAGTATATTATTAAAAGAAGGATGTAAGAGAAAATATATACCAAGTGGCTTTTCATATGTTGTCAACTGTAAAACCTGTTATCGTATGCTTGAAATAAATCATATTTTTTTCTTCTTTTCATTAATTTATATTTCCAACTGTAAAACCTCTTATCTTAGGTGTATAGACTGTACTATGATATATAAAAATTATATATACACTAATGTATAATGTGTGTACTGCATATATACGTATACATTACCTTCTTCTTCTTTTTATATTATGTATATTTTTGCTTATGGAATATCATTTTTTTTTTCAAATTAGATCAATAAAATTTTTAGGTTTCTGTAAAAGATAAAAAGGGAATTATATTGAAAGAAAATAGTTGTACTGTTTTGCCTTATTATTTTGTGTGTTTAATTTTGTGGGTGGAATAGAAGCAAACATATAATCCTAATATTTTCGTAAAAACATGATGATATTATTACAGAAATAAAAGGAACAGAGAACAAAGTTAGAAAAGACTAATTACCATACACAATAAACGGTGTCAAGAGTTACACGATTAGAATTCAATATGGACGGTTCTTCGCCAGAAATTGATAAACATGAAGTTAGGACAAAGTTTAATCATGGCGAAGTCACCTACTATTTATGAGGTTATAGACTTTCAAATAAGAGGGAAAGCTATGAAACACGTTATCCTTGTAGCTTGGAACAAGAAATAAAAGAACAACCCAAATAAAAAATAAAACAAATAGGATATAGTAGTACAAAGAAGATGAACCCGAGTCACATAAATAGGCACATGCTTATCTAAATTTTGCAAGAGCTAATGTTTTGCCGGCATACAAAAGACCAATTTAGGTTACCCGTTATAATTTATTTGAGGCTATGAATTGTATGATTTAATTTATAGCTACCGAATGTTGTTTGTTTTCACCGGTCGGCTAAATGTGAATTTAGCTCAAGAATTATCAAAACATTAAATATATTCATGATCCAATCTTAGGACTGAAAAAGAATTTTTACCTATCTACACTACATTATAAATTTATTTATCCTTTCTAGAGGAACTATCACTTAATTATATTAACATATACAATTTATCATTTATATACAAAATAATATATTAGACTCTAATCTTACCCATTTTATGTCGCTTTTCTATTTTCCAATTCCACTCAACTGAATATAACAGTATTATTCCGTCCAAAATCAGTCATCATATGTGCCAAGAAACTTTTTTCTCCACCAAGTCCTAAAAGGTGTAAAAGCTTGTAGCACGGTTAAATAAACCCATTTATCGTCCGCCATTAAAAAGCTTTGATGTTTTGAATTTGAAATCAGGTTTTGCAAATTTGTTATTTGTTTGGACTAGGGGTGTGTTTGGTATGTAGGAAAATATTTTTCGAAAAATATTTTTTAATTTTTCTATGTTTGGTTGGCTTAAATGTTTTGAAAAATATTTTTCTTATGAACTCATTTTACTCCAATTGGAGAAAAATGTTTTCCTTATCAAGAGAAGGGAAAACATTTTCCAAAACTCCTTCTCAACCTTCCCCACCCTCACTCACCCACCCACCTAACCCCACCCCTCTCTCCAAAAAAGTTTTTTTTTTCTTTTTCAAATTTCAGTTTTTTTTCCGTAACCACCCCTCCACCCCGCAACTTTCTTTTTTTTTTGTAATTTTAAATTTCTGTTTTTTCGTTTTTCTGCACCACCCACCCCACTGCCCCCACCCCGCACAAAAAAAAAGTTTTTTTTTTATCTTTTTTTTTATAAATAGAGTTTAAGAAAAGAGAGAAGAATTTTAAACTTGTGGTATAAAATAAGGCACATATATTTTGTGTGGCTATAAATCAATGCATAAAGGTAAATTATTTCTAAATAGGGAAATGAGTCAATCTTTTTTGCACGAACTAAAAAGAAAATAGATTCACATAAATTGAAACGGAGAGAGTAGTTATTTTTCTAAATAAAAAAATATAAATAAATTAAGTAAATAAGTTTAAAATTTTGTCGACTGAAAATTGCAGTTTTTTTAACTTTGATGGGAGAGAGACCAATTAAGATCCTTCTCTTTTTGTCCTTTCATGACAAGGAGGCTGATCATTATTCACGGAGATGAATTGAGTCTAACATTTATTGCGTGATAGTCAAGATGTCATAACTAATTTTAGAGAATTTTTTATAAACTACTGTAATTTAGAGTCTAGTGACTATAATTTATTTAATTACTATTTGTAACTATTATTTAATTGTTCACTTGTATTCAAACGTGGAACAAATATAGTTTGTG